GAGAATTGGAGACAAATAAAGAAATTAAATGTAGACAAATCTTTCAGGAACTTTTACTGAACAGACAAACAGAAGTGGGTCAGTAGCTGGAGAGAAGTGTGACTCAAAGAGACCCTTTTTCATAATGAGATAAATTATACAGTGTTTCTATGTCTATAGAAATGATCCCATAGATAAGAAAAAACTGATTAATCACAAAGAAAGGGAACAATTGCTAGGGCCATATTCTTGAGTAGGCAAAAGAGGAGATGGGCTCTATTGACCAAGTAGAAGGACTGGTCTTAGCTAGGAGAATGAAACATTCAATTATAATATGAAGAGGAAAGGCCAAAGTATATGCACATGAACACAAGTAAGTTCACATATGTAGTGTGGAGAGCTTGTGAAAAAACTTCTGACTGACTGCATTTTTACAGTGACATAGGATGTAAGACCATAAGCTGAACTGAAAAGGAATTGATGTTGGGGGAAGGCATTGGATGTTGAAAGTTTGAGAATGAAACAGAACATATAAAATACTTGTCTAGAAGAATGAATGGATGAGGATAATATGTCGGGAATCCCTGAAGGCCCACATTTGATTAGTGACCATGAATTATAGTGAGGCCATTTAATATGATGGTGTTTTTTTCCAGCCACCTTTAGCCATGTAGAGTAGGCATGGAGGATGCAAACAGCTAATCTAATCAGGGCTAGGATTTTGCTGGTGTTACAAGAAAAACTTTGGACAAATTAAATTTAACAGAGTTTAATTGAGCAAGGAATGATTTGCAGATTGGGCAGCTACCAGAACCAGAATAGGTTCAGAGCAATTCTGCGGCTGCTGCATGGTCAGCTAAGATTTATAGACAGAAAAGGGAAAGTACATTCAGAAAACAGAAGCAAGGTACAATACAGCTGGATTGGTTACAGCTGGGCCTTCACCTTATTTGAACACAGTTTGAATAGTTTTGTGACTTGCGGTAATTTAGTAAACCTCTTCTTAGAAGCATGTGATTTTCCTCAACAATAAAATAAAGATGTCAGACTATATGGTCTCAGGGTGTATTCTCATTGGTTTCCATTGCTTTTGTTCTTTTATTATCAGGTCTATGCCATCGGACTGCTCTCCCACTGGGTGAAAGCCGAAGGTCTAAATACAACAATAGTGGAAGAAAAAAGAGAAACATCCTCTAATCCTCCAACTGTTCGTCACTTCCAAGACTACCAGAATGTTCCCGAGTACCAAACCCAATCAAAAACAAATCTAGGACAGGATGGTATAGGCTCTCTTTTCCATTCTTCTTCCTCTATATACAACTGAACACTCTGAAAGTAAAGTGACAATCATAAAATTATTCTAAAAGGTAGAAAGTAAGAGTATTATAAGGATTTGAAGAAAGACACAATGGTGGGTTCCCTGGGTTATCTTTTAATCTCTCATACATCTCAGACAGGGTACCAGAGAGAGCTGCAATGTGAAACCATCAAAAGGCATAGGGGGGGGGCAGGGGAGAAGAAAGTGAAATTTTAAAAAGCCTACTTTCTTTGGCCAAATATTGGGAAAGGGAAAGTCCAGCAGTGACTTAGCAAGAAGATCTATGTCCAGTGTCAGCATCTATCTAAAGTTGCAGCAACAATGAATCTCAACGTTGCTGACTCACACCATATCCCACAGCTACAGGCAGCAGGCAGATCCCTCCACCCACACTGGTGATAACAGCAGGCCTTTGCCTCCCAGTGCTCTACCCAGCAACAGAAGGTAAACCAGGCCTGAGGTCTTCTAATCCTCCACACACTAGCAGTGCATCATCCATACCCTACAACTTCTGGCCCTCTAACCAGTGGCAGAGGATGGCTCAGGTTGACCTTTCTGGGAGGAACTAGCAGACGTAGAGTAGAAAACTCAATGGCACTGAGTGATCAGAAAATGGCCAGAGGAAACACTCACTCTCCATCCTCTGTGTCTGGATATCATGCACCCCATCTAACACTGAGCAGCTTACAGAGGTATGTTCTGCCCCTAGATGCAGCACCATCAGTCATCTAGCAAAAGTTCAAGTGAACCAGAGGATTGAAGCAGACCAGAACAGCATTGTAAAGGTTCTAAGTTGTCAATGGGATACAGCCCATAAAAGTAGACTAGATACTACACGTAAATTGGTTAAAGGTCACAATGAATTATTATGTTTTCTACAGATTAGTGTACTAGTTATCCTGATCTGATTATCACATATTGTACACAGGTATCGATAATCAACTTTGTGCCCCGCAAATAGGTACAATCACATATGTTTCAATAACAACAATTACAAAAAAAAAAAAAAAAAAAAAAAAAAA